AAAAAAAAAAAAAAAAGTGGCCAAAAATCTGAGACAAACACGTCAACATGTGAAAATAAGACACGAGATGAACGATCGTGTCACATCCGAGAAGAGAAGTCCGTGCAGCTGTTGCACAGTATTGACTTTGCAGTGAGATGTTAGCGGAGACGTCCCCGAGGTTGGAGTCCGTCAGGTGGATGTTCAGGTCACATGTTTTTTTTAGCTTCCATTTTGTCTGCCGGTGCTTTAAAAACCACTGTAACTATGTAGATAACGGTCGATTGGAAACCTGGTTTCTTAGTGTGTCATACCTTTAGTGGAGGGCGGGGTCAGGCGCAGTCGACCGGGATTTCTCAAACTTTTCTTTTTTTTGTGATAAGGTAAAAACAAAAACACACTGCCATCTTTTTGTTAGGAGACTCGACCACTGCCCTTTGACCTTCTTAAAGGAACGTCCCACATTTTGCGTCATGAGCTCGAGCGTTGACTTCACTTTTCTCTCAAGTGAAGATTTTTAAGATCAGTTATTTGTAATTATTTTTAGCAGAAACATAGAAACTTCAAGTCTTTACAACATCTTCCAAACCGCCACCGTCTCATTTTCAGAATTAAAGAATGAGACGCTTCGACGACATCTGGAGCCCGACAAATGTGGAACTTTGCAAATACAACGGCATCGCACACAAGAGCATAAACAAAAGACACGAAGGCAAAAGCCACATAACAAAACGAAAGTGAAATGTGACAGTTTCTTCTTCGAAGCGAGCAGACGTCTGTGGAGACACGTGCGTTCTAACATTTCGTTGCTCCTGCACCGTAACACCTCCAATAAACAAGCGTCACATTTTAAATGGCAACTGGTTTGATATTTTACAGTTTAAACATTTACACTTTATTATAAATTACTATAAATTAAAAAAACATCAGTTTGAAGCTGTCTAGACAGTTTTTATCTTTTCAGTATTTACTCTTTTGTTGAGCTGCAGTAAATGAACTTGGTCGTAGACTTTTCTGTGACTTGATGAGACGATGACGTCAGTCTCCTCATCTTACCGTAAATACGGAAATCTCCAAAATGTGGGAGTGTTCCTTTCAGGAGATGCTGCCAGAAAGAGTGTGTGTGTGTGTGTGTGTATGGATGGATGGATGTGTGTTAATGTGTGTGTGTGCAGCGCTGACAGCTTCACCCGTCTCCCCCAAAGTTTCTCTGCATCTGTAGATAAAATGATAAAATGTACATGTGCTTAAACAGATTAGTACAACTCGGTGCATGGAGCCTGTACAGACGCATTTGTATGAATTACATGCACACTACCTATTTATATAAATGTAAGATACCTGTGTAAATGTGGCAGCAGGTGTCCTGAAGATTGTTCACTGTCAAACATGTACTTATATCACTGTACATAGAAGCACTAACTTCTTCTGAGACTGTGTTTGAGTAATAATGACCATTACTTTGTCACGTGACTCCAACAGATTTGTACTAGAAGCAGACGAATAGATGCTGTCATGATTATTACTTCTACTGCAGGTGGAATATTTATGTTACGCTTATTTCTAAGTTTTTAAAATGTAATTGCCATTTTTGACCACTAGGTGGGGAATAAGCGCAATGTTACTGTGATAGAGCTATAAATGAAAAGATAAAAAATCCTAGTGTTTTTAAGGAGGACAAATGGACTACGTTTCCCAGCATTCCTGTGGAGGTCTCAGGGTGGGAGTTCTGGGCTTTGATCTTTGTTTTAGTTTCTTTGAGCCAGTATTAAAACGTCGAGCGTCGCCGTCGAGCTGAATTACCGAAAAATTTACACATTCTTTGACTAAGTTTGGTGCCATATTTTTATTCTTTTATTTTTTATTGTATGTGACATTTTGCTCTCTTTACTGTGCGAAACGTTACGTACCCTGCGAAACATGGAGCCCGAAGATTGTTCGGTATTAGATACATGAAAAAAAAAATGATGACGTATAAAAAAAACTGAATAAATAACAGAACAAAAAAAAAGACTTTGATTTATTGATTTATTTATTGATGATTCAGTCCCTCAGGTTGGGGGGGGGGGGTCTTATTAAAGGGGAGTGGGGGCTGTGGCATGAAGCTGCTGAACGGAAACAGGAAACAGAAGTTTTTTTTAAATAAAAGATGAAATTTAAAACTGATTATCGGTCCATTAGACACCAACACTTTCCTGTGACAGTGAACGCATCATCTTTGTGTATTTGACTCCAAACCCATAAAAAGTTAACTGACTGTTACTTTACTACTTCCTGAAATCTCTAAACAATCGATTATAGATACAGATAATTAGTTGTATTGATAACGAACATATTTGTTGATTCGTTTTTCATTTGCTCATAATTTTCAGAATTGTATTTAATCACAGGATTTACTTTAATCATTAATGAGCAA